CATTTCAAACAAGCTTTTAAAAAAAGTTTTTTCCAGACCACCAGAGCAGGTGTGGTGGTACACACCTGTAATCACAGCAGTTGGGAGGCCGAGGCAGGAGGATCACTGCAAGCTCAAGGCCAGCCTGGGCTACAAATTGAGTTCAAGAACAGCCTGAACTGCACAGTGAAACTGTCTCAAGAAGACACCATTTCATATTGTTATTATCTTCCCAGAACCCATTCTACACATACATATACGGTGGTCCTCTGGTTCACAATCTTAATTTTTTCCACAATTCTGGTTGCAAACTACATTGGATGGGAACTCAGTCAAATTTCCCATGAGGTCAGCACTGAAGCTGGCCATTGAATTTGATTGAGTTCTCCGCTAATCAAGTTTGTGCATAGAGTTGTGGAAAGAATTAAGTTTGTGCACCGAGGCACCACTTACAAAACTCTAACCTTTATTTATATTGTGATTGTGATTAGGTTTTTACAAGTTATTGTGAAATCACCCACATCACAATATTTTCATATTATATTATGAAAAGAGATAAAATCAACCATTTGCTTTTAAAATATATTTTAAGGAACACCCTTAAATAATTCCTAGAAGTGAATTTCCTAAAAAGCACCAACTTACAGACCCAACAGCAAAGTTTCAACCCATCTGTCTGTCCAGTGAGAACCTACTTTAGTTTCTGGTAAAAGTATTCTGGCCATCAAAGGTTCAACAATCCACAAAAACACAAAAGTCCTAATGCCTAACAGTATACTAGGTCATTTATTTGTATGACTTCATGACATGAGTTGGTTCTTAAAATATTTTTGCTTTTGGTAGGGGGGAAACTAGTTATTTTTTTAATCACACAAAGTTGATTATTTTTATAAATACTGGCTATTGGTATTTCACATTTTATTACTATATGCTTATGATACATAATAATTAATTCATCTTGGGGAAATGGTACATGTACATATTTCATCTTGATCTTTTGTTTTGGTACTGGGGATCAAACTCAGGATCTTGCGCTTGCCAGGTAGGCACTTATGCCCCTGAGCTATCTCCCTGACCCCTCGCCTCAGTCATTTTTCTTTTTCTTTTCTCTCTCCCCATGCTTCTTTACCTTAACCTCTCCCCATATTCACAGAGTCAACCTCTCTGTTTCTTACTATTATACTTAATGTTCTCATTTTTATGTATTTAGTACAGGGTCTACAAGGTCTCACTACACAGATCAGACTCATAGTGATCCTCCTGCTTTCAGCCCCCTAAGTGCTGGGATTACACCCAGTCTCAGTAGCCATCTCAATATGCCCTGGGAGCAAGGCCAGCGTGGAAGGCTGAGGATTCAACCCCAGTCTCTGTGCCTGGGGTTTTAAAACAATCTGCATATTTCCTTTTTAAATTTAGCAAATCAGAGTGCTTTGAAAGACATAAAGGCTAGATGTGATCATGTAACAGAAAAGAACCACTCTTTAATTCATAGTATTGTTTCTCAACTATGTTGAGCACTTAGAAGAGCTGACATTTTGAAGGTAAGAATCATTTAGTTAGAATTACTAAATTACTAGTTAACTTCTTCTTCTTTTTTTTTTTTCCAGAACTGAGGATTGAACTCAGGCCCTTGTACTAGCCAGGCAAGCACTTATTCTACTGAGCCACCTCCCCAGCCCTACTAGTTAACTTCTTATAAAAACTGCCTCACTGGAAAAGGAATCAGTACTAAAATTACGACATTTTCATTTTAATTTTGCTTTATCATTTCTACCTTTGATGAATAAAAAGGTAATAGGATAAAATGATCGTCCAGAAAATGTTCTGTCTATTAATTCAAAAAGTGCTATGTAGAATGTTCACAATTTATAGCAACATGTTTTACAGAGGATTGTGGTACTACTTCCTTCTTTAGCTCCTGTAGTCCTTGCTAGTTCCAAATTCTCCCTAGAGGCTCCAGGCACCTGTTTTGAGAGTGCTTGGCTGCTTATGGTGAAGTTTCCTAACATCCTCCATCCAGAACTCTGGCTTCTGCAATACCTCGCCAGCTCCTAGTGGAGGCAAGCTGCAGGGCTGGTACGGAGGAAGGAGACTTCTGTGACTCAGGCAATTACTGTTTTCTGTGATGTTTTCTCTAAATGAGCTGCTGAATTTAAAGCACTTCACGGAGCACTACAAGGCAAGATGAGTCTTGCCTATCCTGGGTCTTGCTGCTATCTTGCACTAGTGTGCTTGCTGTGTTCCAGGATAAATATTTAAATGCTTTGTTATCTCAAAATTTAAGTACTCTGAGATAGGGCTCTTGTTTCCTCCATTTCACACACAAGGAAATGAAATCTTGAAGAAGACACATGATTTGTCTAAGATTATTGGGTTTTTAAGAAGCCCTTCCAGGCTGGGGAGACGGCTCAGTAGAATAAGCATTTCCTTGGCAAGCGCAAGGGCCTGAGTTCAATCCCCAGTTCCACCAAAAAAAGGCAAGGCATTCCTTGGACAGGGCCAGTTTGCCTCTGCTCTCCTTTATGCATGGCCACATTAAAAAAGGGCTGGAAATCTAGAAGTGGCTTTTTCTCTCAGTAACTACTTTGCTTTTTCTAAACCTCTGTATCTCTAAAGGTATCTAGTAACCACTGTGGCAGCTGGCAAGGATTGCAATTTGATACAGAGAAGAAACTACAAGAAAACCCCATAGTGGTAATTTAATTTAGAAGCTAGGTCTCAAAAGTCCTTTATCAGGGTCGTGAGCTGAATTACATACTCTCCACCAAACATGTTAATCTTCTAACCTGCAGTACCTCAGAGAGCACATCAGAAAGTGACAATGTTTAGAGAGAGATGGCCCTTGAAGAGGCAAAAAGGTAAAACGGGGTCTTCCCAAGCCAATATGACTAGGGTTTTCATGAAAGGTAGGATTAGGACACAGACCCACACTGAGGAAACACCATGTGAAGACACGGAGAAGACAGACACTTATAAGGCAAAAAGGCCCTAGAAAGGAGCCATCCCTGCCTACCCTCTGATGCTAGATTTTTCATCTCCTGTAATGTGAGGAAATAAGCTTCCATTGTTGAATGCACAGTACTACAGTACTGTGTTGTGGTAGCCCTAAAACATTAATACAAATGGAGTTGAACATTCACTGGTACCTAAAGCCAAGAGCCTTCCTGATTCAAAATCTTTCTTTAAAATTCAGTAATTTAGGGGCCAGGGAGATGGCGCAGGGGAATAAGTGCTTCCCTGGCAAGCACAAGGGCCTGAATTCAATCCCTGGTTTGGCCAAAAAAAAGAGGAAAATTCAGTAGTTTAGACCATAAAAAGTTACAGGTCAAATCCAGTGAGAAAAAAACCTTATTTCACAAATTATCTTAGTCTAATGAAATTTACAGTCCCAAATGGAACATGATTGAGAAGATCACTGGTGGCCTTCACTTGTTAGTCGTTAGAGGTGGGCCATATGTATGCAAGTAATATTGCACCTGAAGGCAAAGTGGAGATTAACTCAGTCACTTCATTGCACTTCCTGAAAAGATTAAGATGTTGCAAACTCTCGCTAAATTCATGTGCATGGACAAATGCACAAGTGACTGGGAAATGATGGTAATGTCTACTGTTGGAATGAGCAGAAAATAGGTATGCGACTAATGGAAAAGAAATTGGGGGGGAAATGGGGAGCACATTAAATCTCATCAAAAGGTATTCAAAGAGATTGTCTATGGCCAGAGGCTCTTTTACTTTCAATTCACTAAATGTTTTTAAAGTGCATTAATGGGACCGTGAGGAAAATTAAAATCAGAACTTGACTCAGATCGCAAATACTTCTTGATAAGCTATCAGAAAAAAGACACAAACTGAAATGGTCATCATTTCATGTAGGCTTTGATGAAATCTATGATGGAAATAAAAATATAGTATGGAATCACAGAGGACAAAGAAGGTGATTCTGGCTAGGGTCATTAGAGCAGTCTTGGTGGTGGAAATGCCATTTGTGTTGGGTCTAGGGGTTGACAGGTGGAATTTGCAGAGGGAGAAATTTTCAAGGCAGATGGATTAAAACAAAGAAAAACAGATGTTCTTTCTTGAGGGCAAATCATGGTCAGTGAAAAAGTAGGAGTCTGTCATGCTTACTTGAGGAGTTATACTGAGAGGATGGGCCGTTGACCCCGCACTGGAAGCCAAAGAACTGGGTTTGAGTTTTGTGTTCATTATTTCTTAGATTTATGACTTCAGTCTTCCTGAGTCTCATTCTTTAGCTGTGGCAATCTCTATAACAGAAAGCCTGATATACAATGAAAATTTAGTGAATATTACTGGAACCTATGTAATTCCAACTTGATTCTATAGAAAATGGGGCACAAATAAAGAATTTGAGCATACAAATAAGATGGTTAGAACTAGATACTTGAAAATTTAACCCAGCAATACAGTGTATTGGGTGAATTAGAAGAGAGTCATCATGCAAGAAGGAGTTATCACTGGGAAAGCCTGAGAGGAGTGAGTGAAAGATCAAGGCAGGGAGAGCCTGAACAGGGCTCCACGGTGGGGCTGGGACGCAGGGATGGAGAGCAAACAGCACCATGGTGTGCAGCCTGGGCTGGGAGGAAAACCAGATTCTGAACCTCTGTTTCTTTTTTCAAGTAATATTTCCTCCAGGACATATCTCTATGGATTCTCAGTTCCCATATCTTTCATAAGCTATTTCATGGCTTTTTAAATCCATAAGACTTACCTGCTGATTCGAAGAGAAAGTAATGAGCATAAGGAAAACAGAGAAATTGAAAATAACATGAAAAGCTTTATGTACTAGTTAGTGGGTTAATAGATGATGTTATTACTCCAATACAAAAGAAAGGAAAATGAACAAATTGGGGCGCAGAATACAATGAGTGTTATTTCTAAGCTTCATGGGCTATCTTTTCAACTAACATATAATAATATGAGTGTTCAAAAATTAGGTATTTTAATAACTCATATACCAAATAAATATAAGATTTGGAAACAAAATGCTTTTCTTTAATTTATAGATTATTTTCATTGGCGATTCCACCAACAGAGGGATCATGTACTACCTGATCGAAAGAGTGAATGAAACCTTGCAGGAATGGCAGAAGTTGCATGGTACTAAACTGTACCCTAATGTCAACAGTGGCAAGACTCTGATCAGTTACTCCTACTATCCCCAGTTCTGGCTGAGCTCTTCCCTGAGACCAACATTCGAGAAAGCACTTGAGCATCTCTTGCAGAGGTACAATGCAACTACTATGAATGGCGTGATGCCACAACATACTGATGTTTTACTAGCAGCTATAATTGCTCACCGTGTACCCAATGCGCCAAGATGCTTAGATACCCTATAATGTGGCTGAAAATGAGTTACAAATGACAAGGAGGTCCTATGATCAGGAAACCAGACACGGTTCAGTGAAATGTGAAGCCATGCGGTTAAAATGTTTACCATCTGTCTTAAAGCAACATGTGCTGTTTTTCTTTCTGGATTTCAGATCACGTCCACTAGAGAACACTGGCCAGACAGTATTGGTTGTTGGTGGTGTTCAATGGCTTAATTCCAATCACCTACAAATTATTCACAAGGTTTTGAAAAGGTAAACTTATGCAATAATGATTGTCATGAATATTCTCAATTTTGTAAAGATAGTATTGATATGCCTGAGTTTGATCCAGATTTTGTTTAATGAAAGTTTTGTAATTTAAATTTAAGGACTTAAAGCCTAGTTTAAAATATTTCAAAATTTACTTTTATGATCAGTCACAAACAGGCTCTCAGTATCTAATTTTAAATTCAGTGTAGATCAAATTATGACCACTGACAAAAACCCTATCCACAGAAATAGCCTTAATGCATGTCAAATCTGCAGAATAGAAATTTAGTCCTCTATGCCATTTATCACATTCTGAGAGAATTAGATTGAATTTGTTTACGTAATTAAACATCTATAATATAAGTGAAGTTTGTGACTTTAGAATTTTGATTATTTCATTCAGGGAAAATTTACTAAATATCCTAGTGATCATCAAAACTTTGGGAATTGGATTTCACTTGCCAGTGGATGGAGTGCATTTCTTAACACAGGTAAGCTCATCACTTTTAGGCCAAGAGAATCTCGTGGTCCCTGTATAGATCTCCGCTGGTAAATGCCACTATAGGGGCAGGGGAGATGGCTCAGTAGAATAAGTCCTTCCCTGGCAAGCGCAATGGCTTAAGTTCAATCCCCAGTTCCACAAAAAAAAAAAGAAGAAGAAGAAAGAAAGGAAAGAAAAAGACACTATATAATATTCACCAATTTGCATAAAAACCAGAAGTGACCACATACTTGGAGGTTATGATTTCAACCCAGTTATGGTTATACCTAAGAGAGACCATTGCCTACCAGTGGCTTGTACACAACACAAAATAAGAAAGGAGTGTCAACTATGCAAAATAAAGAATGGAGGCATAGATGAGAGGGATTGCGTATCGTGTGCTCCACCAGTGTTTCAGGTGTCTCTCAAGGCTGTATTGAAACCACAAAATGAAACTGTTAATCCTGGTGAGTTTTGGGGGAAAAGATGACACTTTAGAAGATAAATACTTTTTTAAAAATACTTATCTTTGAAATGTTATCTTCTTTCGTCTAATTGATCATTCATAACTGAAAACCTTGGGTTCTGATTGATATTTTAAAAAGGTAGTAAATATAACTTAGCACTCACAGAGGCCTCCAGCGTCCAGAAGCCAGACCCAGCTGCTCCTGCTCTGTGTGAGCAGTGTGTGAACATGCCAAGGACTGCCAGGGCCTCAGAGTTGCGCTTCAGGGGAGCGCCAGGAACTGGGCTGGCAGGAGACTGGCCATTTAATATGGAAGGACCTTAAGATTTATTTTTGTGTCTGTGTTGAGTGCTCTTAGCTTTTCCCAGCCCCAAACACAGGATCCCCCTCTCCTTTCTCTAGACTTTATCTGCCTGAATGCCAAGTCTTTTATGATGTAAAAACAAGAGCACCTGTAGAAAGTGGTCTATGTAAAGCCTCCCCTTCAGCATTCCAGCAGCAGCAAAGGTTAAAGATCACTTAAAGTGAGTTGTCCTTTAACATCTGGAGTAGCTGAGAAGTTGAAGATAACTGGATCAGGAGGCAGTTCTAGCGGTATTTCTTGCTACAGATTATGAGTTGGAGATGTTATGAGATTTGGAAAGCATCCATCAGGATTTTAATTCCGATGTGAAGACTGGTAGCATCATTATGCTTCTTTTGCTTACGGCTCTTTGCAGCACCTTTCTCCCTGCTCATATTTAAAATACTGACCATGCACTCTTCTTCTTTCAGCAAGTGCTTTCTAAGCACATGCTCTATGCCAGTCCTGTCATACAGACGAGGCCCACTACCTCAGCTAGTCCTCCCTGTTCTTTGCAAATGAGGTGAAGATGAAGGGGGAGAGGAGGACAAACAATGTGGGTGGAAGCAGAAAGTGACAAATTCAAGTGGGCACAGAACATATTCCTCAGCCTACATGGCCACTCTCCCCTCTTCTGCTGACTTCTGCTCCATGCTATAAAATCACATACACACATGCACACACATGAGCTCGCTGAGCAGTCACTTCTCAAGCACACTAAGTGCACCTCAGGGCCTGTGCAGTTGCTGTTGCCTCAGCTTGAAGCCACTTATTCCAACCCACTCACCATAACATCCAGATACTCTTCATATTTTAGAATACTCCTCAGGAAGGGTCATCCCAGCCCTAGAATTCTAGGTGGATTTAAGGGCCACCTCTGCTGCTACTACATTACAAGTCAGGTTCTTCCTCTACACAGTTTGCACTTTGCTCCTTTACACAAGTTCATCCCAAGAACACTGCTCTGCTCACCACTCACTTCCCGATTTCTGTTTCCCATAGAACTGATCTTTCTCTAGAAACTTCTTAAAGTTCTACATACCTACCATAACTAAGAACATTAAAATTGAGAAAATACTTATAAATTGAAAAGAAGCAGTCTTATGCACATTATTAAATGTATGAATTTCATTTTTCATATCATTTTGGAGGCCCTGAGCAAATTGGCATGTCTGTTTCCCTACAGATTGATTTGTTTGAGTCTTTTCTTTTCACTGCTATTATTTTGAAGGCAACACTTTTCTTTGAGTGTCCTATAAGAATAAGCATGTAAGCACAGTGAAGAAGACAGAAAATTGCATGTATTTGTACTGCTTCTGCTCAACTGTAACAGTTGGAAATTTAACAAATGCAAGTTATCTGCTTTTTTAACCTGAAAAAATGAAAAATTGAACTTGCCCTTTAGAAGAGAAATGGGAGTACAGTTTTCGTCCCTGTGTCAGTTTGGGTTCCCCCAAATCAACAATGAGAGACTACAGTGGGGGAAGGACTGGGAAGGGTATGTAAGAGCCAGTTGGCATTTTAGACCATGATGTCCAGGGTGTGTCACTCAGCCCTGTACCTGATCTCATTTGTCCACCTAGCATGTGTTAAGAACTGTGTTTGACTGCAATGTTTATGATGCCAAATAGGAAGAAGGACAAAATGGGTAGGAAGAGTCTCAGACTGCAGGTAAGTTTTGAAGAATACTTTTTCTAGGTCATGAAGTTAGCCCCGCTGTCTCAGTTACTTTCTTTGTCACTAGGACAAAATACTCAAACCCCACAACTTTAAGGCAGAAAAGTTCATTTTGCTTGATGCTAAGGTTTCAGTCTGTAGTGGGCTGGCTCCAAGGCGCCAAGGCAGGTGGCATGGCCTACTGCATAGAGGAGAACTGCCCATGACAGGGTAGCCAGGAAGCAGAGAAAGAAGGGGGCAGCGATATAGCCTCCCAGGTCACAACTCAATGACCTGCCTTTTCTGACTCAGCTATGCCTCTCAAAAATAGCAAGCACATTTAGTGTGGACTCCCATGGGTTAATCTCCCCCGAGATCCAATCACCTTCTACAGCCTCTTTTTTGCACACTAGGCTTTGGGTGGACATTGCAGATCCCCTCCACAACTTACCCTTCTCCACAGAGTGCACCAAAACTAGCACTCTTGCTGTGCTCCATCCAAGGCCAGGACAAGGAGGGGAGCGGAGGGAAGAAAGTGATCCACAGCAGCAGCTGCTAAAGCTTCCACGATGCAGCCGCTCCCAAGGGCATGGCATCATGCTCTTCTGACCAGAAGGCCTTGCTCTATACTGTTCCGGAGCTCAAAGTCCTACATTTAGCTTGTGCTTTCTCTGGACAGAGCCACTTCTGTCAGCTCAGACTTGGCATGCTCTCTTCTAACAGAAAGGAGTTGCTAGCTCTTGATATATCTGTTCCTCTTTCTAGAAAATGCTGTCCTAAGAGCATGCACTACAGTTTATTTATCCTTATAACACTGTCCCTTGGCAAAAAAAACTAAGCACCAAGCAGTTTCCAGTTCATATTCAAGCAGCTAAATGAATCAGGATATAAATGGAGCTAGCACTTGTGATTCACAAATGTTGGTTTTCCATTATGCAATACAGCAACCCTAGAAAAATTCCTATTGTTTTGTTTGGTGAAGTTCTACATCATTTCTAATGGGTTTTTTCATACCATTTTTTATTCTCTCTCTCTCTCTCTCTCTCTCTCTCTCTCTCTCTCTCTCTCTCTCTCTCGGCAGAACGGGGATTGAACTCAGACCCTTGCCCTTGCCAGGGAAGCACTTATTCTACTGAGCCATCTCCCGGGCCCCTTTTCATTCCCTTTAGGGAATAAAAAAAATATTGGCTTTCAAGCTGAGAATTTGATATCTTTATTGTGGACAATAAATATAACTCCTCAAGAAAGTTCAGAAATATGTATCTCTATAGGCATTTATGGATTGCCATTTTATATATACTCATAGTTGCATTGTTGTTTTGAATTTTCAAAAAGTTAGAATGTATCCAGGAGATTCAAGTGAAATTCTTCATTTTCACACCATGACCAATCTCTTCAAGAAGATAATAATATTTATATGATTTCTGCTTCAGTTGTTGAATCATGAAATAATCCTCTTAAAAATGCTCTTTCTTCGGCTTTGTAATTCAGAGTGAAGTTCAAAACTTGTGGAAAGAAAATGTGATTATTGTGGAAACTGCAAAGCAATATGGCTATGAAGTAGTGGACACATTCAGCATAACGATGGGGCGATACAAAGAGTTTCTTCAGGGCAACTGTGGATGTCATTTCCATGAGGTACTTACACTGGTGCTCTGATACTTGCAGCTTTTGATTTTTGAAAATGGTACTATCTGTCTTATTTTGTACATACAAAAATGATTCAGGAGAATAATGCTCTGTTCATCATCACTCTGCTCAAAGCAGGAACTGAAAATGTGAGTGTGGACACTACAGCTCTAGGATCATTTTCTAATGCCTGCAGGATGAAGACAATCTGAGAAAGAGTTTACCTTCTCTGACAGATTCCAAGCCTTCCTATCAGAGAGCTTACCTAAAGAAAGTTACAAAACTCTCTAGCTTGAAGATCAGCACTATTTAATATGTGAACTAATGAATGGTTTAGTCAGTGAGTAACAGGAAAGCCTGTATTTTGAGTAATTTTTTTCTTCCACCAGGGTACTAATGATTTTATCTGTAAACAGTAATTAAACTGGCTCAGCCCATAAAGTGATAGCCTAAAACAATTGTATTCTTCTTTCTCCTGTCTTTTCAACTCCTCTGTGTATTATTTCCACCCTATCATTTGAATACAGTTTTGGGGAGGTCCCATAACTTTAAAAGATCCTATCACTTTCACAAGTAAGAGCATTACTTTAGTACTAGATTTGTCCTGTCTTGTTTCATAACCACATCTCATTCACCTTCCCCAGCTCAGAGCTGCCACTCTCACAAGCAAGGGAAGGAATGCAGGGGATTTCCTTGTTATTTCTCCATTTGTTTTGCTGCTCTTTTTGCTATTTGTTTGGGGATCAAATTAGAGTGGAAAGGGACAGTAAAGACAACAAGCATCAGCCACCAATATGCTTTCTAGGTGTAGTGTGGCTACTTCATCTTGTTATCTTGTTTTAAGAGTGATTCTTTTTTTTTTTTTTTTTTGGTGGAACCAGGGATTGAACTCTGGTCCTTGCACTTGCCAGGCAAGCACTTATTCTACTGAACCATCTCCCCAGCCCTTAAGAGTGATTCTTGAAAAGACTCCTGATTAGGGCCTTCTGATCGCAGCCCTCTTGATAGAGGCAATCTTCTTGCTGCTGATTCTTTCTTTGCCCAACTGTCCCTCATCTGCCTGTTGGAAATCACATCACTCCTCCAGGCATCTTCTTGGAAAACAGTTACATTGGCACCAGCCTTGCTGTACTCTGTAGTTTTCATTTGGTCTACAGAAATATTCATGCATTCTTATCTGCTCTTGTTGGAAATACAATCAATTTTCAATGCCACCATTGATTTGTTCTTGCTGTCTCATCCTCTCTACCATCATAGGTGATCAATAGCCACAGTGTCTCCTACCAGTTTTGATAGTCACTACGAGATGTCCAGCTCTCCAAGTTGGCCTCTTGAGTGTCTTCTCATTAGATGTAAGAAAAGTTAAATAATTCCTCAAAAAGAAGAAAAGTACGGCACATTTGGAAAATGCTTATAGAAATTCCTTTCCTTCTTTTTAATCTCACAACTCTTTTGATGAGACAAGGTTTGCCAGATTGGATTTTGTCCACTCTTTTGAAAGTCTTATATAGATTGTCCAGTGTTTGGAATATGAGGTTTCCGGGAAACTCTAGATCTAGTCTCAGGAGATGCCACAGTCCCTGAGATTGTAGCCTGCCTCCTTCTTACCTTCCTCTCAGATACTGATGCTCCCATTTTCTTTTGTTGGCTCCCTTTCTAGACAAAAGTCTTTCAGTGGTTGGCTGACTGGTGAGATGACAACTAAAGTTTCTTTCTTTCTTTCTTTCTTTCTTTCTTTCTTTCTTTCTTTCTTTCTTTCTTTCTTTCTTCTTTCTTTCTTTCTTTTTGGCAGAAGCAGGGATTGAACTCAGGCCCTTGTGCTTGCCAGAGAAGCGCTTATTCCACTGAGCCATCTCCCTGGCCCCTAAAGTTTCTTTCTGAATCTCTTCTCAGTCTTTAACTCAGTGTCAAATCCCATCTTGTTCCCCAGATTCTTATGAATATTTCTAAAGCTATTAACACTGCATTACCTGTGTATAATTTACTGATGGTTTTATGTTATTCGTTTATTTAACCAGTGGTACTGCACCTTAGAGAAATGAGAGGCAGCAGCCACACAGAGCACATGACATTTTAAGCTTGGATCAAGCAACTTGAAGCATGGTCATGTTGTTGCAAAACAGTATTTTAAACTGTAAGATGCTGTGTCTACTAATTGCTTCCACAAGAAAATGTACCACCTGTAAAGAACTCATCCTACTTATAAAAAACCAAAACTTAGAAACAAAAGAGGGACCTAGCAGCTGAGGCAATGCAGGATCACAGTTGGTCACAGAACAGGCTGCTGGTTGCCAAATACACGGAAATGGAGAAGCTTGAAAGACAACAGAGACGAAGGATGCTTTGCCTCTTTTAGAAAAGGCTTGTTTATTTATTTATTTATTTATTTATGCTTATATAATGTACCCCCAATTAGTACTTTGGTCAGGGGAGTGTCTACTTTTCTTTTTCAGCTTTTGTGTTCTGAAAGTCTGTAAAGGACACGTCCTCTAATGATTTCCAGTATGGCTCCAATTAAAAACAGAGGACGGCTTCCCACATGATTGCATTGCACATATCTCCTGCCACTATGTCAACTGGTTTCTACTAAGTGTCCTGGAATGTGAAAACCACGAACAGACTCTTTGAAACATCAGCACTAGAACATTAGTTTATAAATATTTCTGATAAAGCTATCCTTAATTTGCAAAATAATGATTTGATCATGCCAAGAAAGAGTATTTTATGTTGTAACTTTTGTATATTTATCATGTCCAAAGTACTTTTTAATTATATTTCTAATGTATACTATCTTGATGACAGGCTACATAAGTCTCTCCAGAATTATCTCAGTTATTCCTAAGTAAGGTCATCAGTTTTAAATTTTTATGATTGAGCTAAAAAGTACAATTCTGGAAACATTTACCTTTCTAGTTATAATATGGAGTTGAAAGCATCACCTTTCTCAATTGACTCACTTTATCATAAAGTCTCTAAAGTAATTCACTGCTTTGACACAGTTGTGGTTTAACTCTGGACAATTTGAACCACTGATAACTCAGTAAGACTCTAATGGTGACACTGATTTTTAAAAAGCTTTTTAAACTATCACCAAACATCTTAAATACTGTTAGTTTATTACAATAAAAAGTTAAAACTCAATATAAAGAATGGTTTGATGACAAATGAAACAAACCAGGGAAAAGGTGGTTACTAAAATGCAAAACATTCTCTGCAACAGAATGTAGAGGGCATACCTTGTGTTGAAAGACAGTTTTGACCTATGCTTTTGAGCCTAGCCAAAAAAAAAGTTTATCAGAAAATAATAGTAAGAATGAGAGACAGTTATATTAAAATCATAAGAATCTTAGCTTGGGGGCTGTATTTCTTGTATCCAGTTGAATTGTTCCCACAATAAAATCAAGGCTACCTAAGACATGATATAATCATTACCATAAAGACATGGATGGCTCTTGTTTGCTTTGTACTTATAAATCTGTAATAGACATAACAGACCTGTTTCATTTGGTGAGCTCTTAATTCCATGGGTGAGATTAAAGGTCTTGGAGTATTTCCTACTGAAAGAGAATATGTTGTCACTGTGAATCCATAAACAATTTCCCAACTGCACTGCATCAATTTTGACTAAAACATTCCTGCCAGTTACAAAAGCAGGTGTTTCTCTTTATGGATGGCAATGGAATTTTGTTTTCCCAACATGTTTACACAGGGTAACAAACAGAATCCAGGTAGCCGCCCAAGAGAGGTCTTGGATGACACCTTTTATTACACAACCGACATCTACTGTTTAAAAGCTAGAACTTGGAAGGCATTCGGTAGTACCATCAGCCCAAATCTAGTTGCAGAAGAGGCAAATTCACAAACAATTGCCACATGATTCTTAGTCTAATCACTTGTACAGACTTGTATATTTTTATATTCTTACAAACATAACTGCAGCTTTTGATTCAGTCAACAAAAACCAGCTGGCATAATGACCCAGCAATAAGACCAACAAGTTTCCTTTAATGCTGGTACCATGAAAAGAAAAAAAGAGAATTTCAATTCTTTTTTGGAGATTATTTTCCATTATTATTTAATCTTAACTGATGCTTTTCATTATTGAATCTTAATTAAATAAATGATGATGTGGCTTAGAATTAATACCTTTTCTTTCTCCTTAAATATGTAAAGTTTACTACTTAAACACCATAAAGAAAAAAAAAACTTTAAATTTATCTTCTTAAAAACTGAAATTGTAACTTTTGCTGAGCAATAAACAAATGAAGCAAATATAGTTAGCTGATTTAGAAAATCCCAGAATTTAATTATTAGCATAGCTATTTTCTCACAAATTAGTAATGACAATTTATTTAACAGGTATTTCTGAGTATCTGCTGTATGTAAATACTTTACTGCTATTACTAAATGAGCTAGGAGATGACCTTTCAGCAGTGAAGGTGAGCCTTTTAGAGTTTGCAATGATACAAATAGTCTGCTTTGACACATGTGCCCTAAGCTTGCGGCCACTGCCTTCCGCATTTCCAAGGCAATTATTCCAACCAAGAAGTAATATTTCCTTTAAAGTATGTTCTTCTCTGGTATGCTCTGATATACTCTCTTGCAGTACGTTTACAGACCATAGTCATCCTTAACTTTTGCTTAACTTAACTTCAGCCTCCCAACAACCCCAATGAACCGGTTGCCAAATACTGTTTACATGTTGAATATTCTTCCACATCTTTCCCCTGTTCTCTGTTTCAGTTGCCTGAACCTTGTTTATTCTCCCACTTAATCATTCCACATTTGTTTGGTGAGTCCAGTTCTTCAGCTAAACACTAGTGATGCAAAAATAAATAAAACATGTCTTTTGCCCTGAAGACATTGCTACAAAGTGTTAGCATAAAAATCAATGCAGTGAAACTCTGTGTTAGGTGGCATGGTGAAGATATAAAAAGGCCGTTGTGATTGCACCAAGAAGGGGTACCTAACCCAACCTGGGGACTGAGTGCATTGGCTCTTCAGAAGTT